AAAAGTGTTAGAAAAGTGTATAAAAATAACATAATAGTGAAGAGTTCAAAATAAATAAACAAATAAAATACTGCACTGTAAACTGTTTTAACAAAATATAATTATATATCATGTGCTAACAAGACTGTGAAGCAGTTTGCTGAAATGCAAGGGTAATGCTAGCATCTTCACTCTCTATATATTTGGTATATGTTGTGTGGTTCTATTTAAATGTTTATGCCCAAAACTTTCAGAAAATGTTTATGAACTTGGCTACTGTTTCTGCTGCACTGTGCAAAGCTAACCTCCACACGGACGGCTGTATGTGAATCTTTAACACAGCTAACTAACCAGTTCAGGTGCATTAGATAAGAAACTTAGTTGGTATCAGGATTAATCATCAGCTTACGACATACCAAGTATGTCTTTTCACTGTTATATTTTGATTACCTATTATATTTATGTGAGGTTTAATTGTCAAATGGAAACTTTGAGGTTATCTTTTTGGCAAATTGAATATCTTTGCTGTAAATCTAAAAAAAATTTTCTTTTAAATAGGGTAAACTTGGAGTTCCCGGATTACCAGGCTACCCAGGAAGACAAGGACCAAAGGCAAGTGCTCCACATATTATGAAGTAAATTTATCAAAATGATTCATAGTAATGCTACATTTAATGCTACATTTAGGGTTAAGGTAAGAATTTACCAATGTGTTTTTGAAGACTAAAAGGATTAGTGTAGATTAGGGCCTTTTACATCCAAAGTCCTGGAGCTTACCAGTAAAGAACAGTCATCTAAATAGTAGGAAAAAATTAAAATGAATGCAATAAGAGCTGATAAAAGAAGCATTTCATGGCTGTAATGCCAAGAAAAAAAATTATGTATTCATTCTTGAAGAGGGTATAGTTTTTTTTAAAGATAATCAAGTCTTACACATTGTTTATTTTCTTTTGATAGATGTCTGTATCCATCTAAAGATTATTCAAAAGCTAAATCTGTCCAGTGTATGACTAGTTTTGGCCTTTAATGTAGCTTTACGAACAATGGCTCTACTTTTCTTGCCTACAATGTCCTAATTGGATGCTTCTTTGCCTTAAAAAAAGACCATAAAAATGGGCAACGGATACTTTCAGGGTGAGTTTTTTAAATTAGTTGGTTCAGCCTTTAAGCCCCTTTGTGACAAAGTCACAGTCTGAAAAGTGGATGTGCTTGAAGCTTTGTGATCAGAGAGATGGGGATTTGAATATGCTATTTCTGTCATCCCTCAGCAGCCTTTGCGATAACAATAAAGCACTGCAGCCTCCTGTCCCACTAGGTATAATGGGCTGGGAGTATTCCTGGGAGGGAAATAAATAAGGGTGAAGTGTTTATCTTTTCTCTCTCAGGTTGCTAATTGCTCTCTTTCTGCCACACAGGGATCTCAGGGTTTCCAAGGCTTCCCCGGCGCCAACGGAGAGAAGGGCTCTCGGGTATGTCACATATCGCATTTCCTATTTACATTACTCGTACAAAGAGTTGGACAGCAACCCGGATCGAGATTGATCTGTCCAGAGGAGGCTACAGTGACTCTGAAACGGATTTGGCCGAGCAGAGGAAGAAAGCACCTCTTACACAACTCATTTCATACTAGCAAAAACATTGTTTATCACTCGGTAGCGCTTTGAGCAATGTTTCATTCGCTCTGTGTGTAAGGGACGGGCCATTAGCTTGCCTCAAAGAGTAATAGTTTGTCATCGCGACTGGAGCAGGGCGCATAAAGCTTCTCATCTTTACAGGACGTTCGGGAAGTTTATGAGGTGGAGCTCCCAGATGAAAAGAAATAAGAAGGCCTTTTAAAAAGATTCACTGCTCTTAGTTGAAGGCTTAATACCACTCAGAATATGCACTTGTTTTCTCATTAAAGTTAAATGAACCCATTTTAATTTGTGCTGTGCCATATAACTGTGAAATTGTTAAATCAAAAAAAGTCCCATCTTTAGCACTAATGGTAGAAATGTTAGTGATTATAAGTATTACCAATGACATAGAAGTAGATCAGGCTTGATTGGATAGAAGCGCTGGCCTCAGTGCACTGTAATGGCCTAATTCTGTTGATCTCTGTCTGCAGATGTTATCCTCTTCTGGCCTTTAGATGAATTCATTTAGAACATGCTTTCCATCCCCTTTAATGATGTGAGCTGCCATTCCTTTGATCGCATTGTGTTCTTAACATCCACAGGGAACAGGAGGAAAGCCAGGCCCACGTGGACAGAGAGGACCAACGGTTAGTCTTACTCAGCACACTTCAGCTTATCTACAGATGGCAAACTTGGCACCTCAGTAAAGTAGGATGGCTCTTGATGTTGCTATTCTTAAGGGAAAGCCAAGCTGAGACATTAATTATATCTTAGCGTTTCCAGGTCATCAGTATCTCTCATTGAGTGCTCTCCGTGATTCTAATCACGTCTTTGTTTTCATCAGGGGCCGAGAGGAGAGAGAGGCCCGAGAGGACCCACGGGGAAAGCTGGACCAAAAGTCTGGGAAATGTTTCACTCTCATCTTATGTATTTTTTGTTTGTGCTTTCATCTTCTAACCCCTTTGCTTTGTTTTATTTTTCAGGGTAACTCAGGAAATGATGGCCCACCAGGACCCCCTGGAGAGAGGGTATGTTGCATCATTCCCGTATCAAAAGTCAGGTTGTTTAAAAAGAATCTCAAGATCTCTAAGGGATTAATGACTGAGTGCCAACTTTTCTTTCTTTCTCAGGGTTTGCCAGGGCCTCAGGGACCAACAGGTTTTCCAGGACCAAAAGGCCCTCCTGTAAGTCAGATTATCTTTAGAAACCCATCTTGCTCTTGTAAGCTTGCTTTATAAGTTTCACTTTTACTCTGTATTTGAGAATTTGTGTGACTTTTTCAGGGACCTCCAGGGAAAGATGGACTGCCTGGACATCCTGGACAGAGAGGAGAAACTGTAAGTAAATCAGTTTGATTGTTCATCTCTTCTGTAGTCGAGAGGCTGTTTGGTGACTAAGTTTTTGTTTCTTCTTCCATATGCAGGGTTTCCAAGGCAAAACTGGCCCTCCTGGTCCTCCAGGTGTGGTTGGACCTCAGGTAAGATCCTTATTTTTTGTCTTTAATACCGATTTTATTGTTTGTTACATTTGCCCCAAAAACTGCGCACGAGTGTACGATTTGCCCTCACTTGCTTAGAAATTACACCCTTGTTAGTATACTGTCAGGTACTGGCATAAAAGCAAAGGAGGAATATGAAAGGAACAGCGGAGAACAGTTTCACTTGTTCCAGTAACTATGATTTATTGTTGTGAGAGCTGAACTTTAGGTGCTGTTTGTTTTTCTATATTAGCCTTGGGATCCTCATCCATTATGCATGAATGTTTAGAAGACTTTAAGCATTTCTGCTAATACCAGCTTAGAACATTCATGATGATGTAGGAACACTGATTCTTTACAGAATAGTAATCTTAGCAAATAGCGTTTTGCTTTGAATCTCTTGATTGACCAAGCTAAACATGACCTACATGTTCATCTAGACTATTTTGGGGCTATAAATACCCATAAGTAAAAAGCAGAAATGCCCTATATTAGCTTTTCTATCATAACCTGCTTTGTCCTATATAGCTATTTTAGCTTTAGTTGCTACCTGACAGATTTAAGCCCAATATTTTAGTTTACATGTTTCGCTTTTGTTTACCATGGATATCTCTCAAGTTCTTTTTTAAAAATGTCTATAGGGACCAACAGGTGAAACCGGGCCTAGGGGAGATCGGGGTCATCCAGGTCCTCCAGGACCACCTGGTGAGCACGGTCTACCTGGAGCTGCTGGAAAAGAAGGGGCTAAGGTAAAACTTTGTGGTCTAAGTCAATGGTCACATTTCTCACATCTATACACAATGTCATTAAACTATTATTCATTCAAACTAATGTCACTCTATTTTCACCTGTAGGGTGACCCTGGTCCTGCAGGCCCAACTGGTAAGGACGGTCCTCCTGGGCAAAGAGGTTTCCCTGGAGAGAGAGGTCTGCCAGGCCCTGTGGTAAATTGTCTCGTTTTGTCTCTCTATTAAAGTATGCCTTTCTATATAATCAATATTCTTCCTCCATTGTTATTTCATCATAACGTCTGACTGCAAGCTACAAGCTATTAAAATGCTGTAGCAATTTGTCAAAAAAAAAAACCCAAACAAATAAACAAACAAAAGCAGACTGAGTTCTGACTTTCAAAGGTTGTTTATTTTATATCATTTTTCCATTCTAATGTTATGATGAAGTCAAATATATTTTCTTATTGCAAACATGATTCCTAGAAATCATCTGTAGAAGCAATTCAGTCTCTAACATCAGACATTCTAAGTTATGCAGCACACTACCTCTCTCTGTAATGATGGAGCAGATTCGCTGCTGTATTGGTAAAGAACTGTTTTTCTCCATCTGCTCAGCTGCTGCTTGGGAGACTGCAGGAGGTTTTCTACCTCATGCTGTGCCTGTTTAGAGATAGGGAGTTTATGAGACAGGATGCTTCCTCGACAGATGTGTTTCTTTTCTCAATCCTTTGTTTAATTTTACTTTGCAGGGGGCTCATGGTCTGAAAGGGAATGAGGGTCCCCAAGGCCCACCAGGCCCTGCTGTGAGTACAATTCATTTCCTAACCCTTCTTTAATCCTTGCCAGAAAGTAGCCATTTATGCTAAACTTGTTTTACTGAAAATTCCCCTTAAAAATGAAATAATGGTATGTAAAATATACGACTTCTTTTCACAATGTGGCTTATGGGACTGAAATGTTAGTCTTTTAGGTTGGTTATTTTTTAAGTATTACTTTGATGACTAATATTAATATATTGGTATTTAAGGGTTCTCCTGGTGAGCGGGGTCCCGCTGGCCCGGCTGGACCAACAGGTCCGCCTGGGCGTTCTGGCCCACAAGGACCCCCAGGCCCTGCTGGAGAAAAAGGTGGACCGGTAAGAAGCCCTTTCAACCAATATGCTGTGAAAAGTGTTGCTTTGCGCTTTTTTCGCTGACTGTGTGATGTCACAATTTTAGGGAGAAAAAGGACCTCAGGGACCAGCTGGAAGAGATGGTATTCAAGGACCTGTGGGTCTACCAGGACCTGGAGGACCCCCAGGACCCCCCGGAGAGGATGGAGATAAGGTCAGTTCCTTTACATGGCCTGATTCCCTGTCTATCTAAGGGAAAATGGAAAGTATAGTTTTCGTTAAAGTCTGTGTAACTTTTAAGTGTTAATTGAATGTTTAGGAACCATATAAAAAGCAAGAACACAAATTTTCCACTTTTACTTGTGTGAACACTTTTCTTATGCGATAGAACCTACTATCTAAGAGTTATTTCTAAGATTTTTTTTTCATAAACAAGTTTCAAACTGATTTTCTTCTTCTGGTGCTCACAGTAGGAAATTATACATTTCACCGATACATTTCAATCACTGAAACGGTGATTTGACAGGGCTGAGGTGAAGAACATTCTAAGTACTTGTTGTTCTTCACCTTTATCCATTTGAGCCGACATATTAAACCTTCATCCAAGTTTCAGTCATCTAGGTGTTTGTTTGGTGAAAAGGTTAGAGATAGCCCTTCCCTTTTCATTACTGTCACCCTAATGCTGCTCATACTATTGGCAGTTAGACAGATAAACAGCAGGTCACATGTTCTGAGGTTTAAATGTATTGCCTTGACGCCTCGTTAGCTTTATCCTTTATCCCTAATGTCATATAATTTGTATGACAGAAGAAATGATCCTAAAAGGCTTTGATTTGTCCTTTTTGGAGGTTGCTCTTTTTATTTGAGCTTCAAAGTGTCCTTTTATAGAGGAGTTGCTCCTTTCTTGGTCAGTAGCCTCTCAGTCTCACAGTGATGTAGAACTGGCTTCACTGTGGACAGTGAGACTAGTTTAAACCACAGTGGCTCCTGATTGATTTCTTGTCATCTTGAGTGGAACAATTTGTGCCAGACAGTTGCAACTCAGACACAGTTGAGTGTTTCAGGGGGAAGAAGATCCCAAACAATTTCACCTTCCAATCCCCGATTTCCTTGGTAATTCTTTAAAGTTGTCTTATGTAATTATTATTACGAATATTCATGCATTTAAAAAAATAAGACTTCCTATTCATTCCATTAGCATGTGTGTATCCCCTTACTCTAAAACACCAAAGCTGAGATATAAACCATATATCTTCTCACCCTATTCACTCTGACCTATACTCTCAAAGGGAAATTTGTGTTACAGCGTTTGCATTGATTTGCAGATCTTTAATAGTCTAGCCATCCGTGTTACTACTTTGTGCAAACAGAGAGGAGATCGGAGCTGAATTTAGAAGTAGGGACACAATGTGCTGCTGTCACGCTTTAGCATTCAGAGGTAAGAGCAACTCCTTATCCTCTCTAAAAACATTTTCAGTAAGATCAACATAAGGAAAGTCAAAGGATAATCTCTCCCTTTTGAAAAACGGCTCAGTTCTAACCTGGCCCTACAGTGGTCCCGGCAGGGAAGATGGACACAGGCAATACTGGGGGTATTTGCTGTGTGGATTTAAGGGATATTTCTACCTAAAGTTTATACAAAATAATACACTCCATGTTTAACACTGTGAGGTGGGAATCAACCACTTTAAACACTGTTTCAGTACATGCATTGTCCTGCTCAACTCACAATGCTTTTAGGAATATTTACCCAATGCACAAAAGCTTTGATAGTAAGGTTAAAAGGGCTTTATTTTGCATGTTTAGTGCTTTTTCTAATGGATCCAATTATCTTGTTTTCCTTTGGCTGATAGTATTCAAGTGACTCATGATAAGTCCCCCTTCAGATGTAAATTATAATTTTGAGAAAAGGGAAGTGAGGAGCTGAAAAATAATTTATCCATGGCTAACAATTACTTTTAAAAACATTTTGCATCAGCTTGTTTATAAATCTCTATCCTGACAACACAGTGACACTTTGATTGCTTACTTAAAGTTTATTTTAGGAACCAATAGTGCTCCATTATTGACAATAAGGTTGTATTTACATGCATTAACAGGTAGGTGAACGTTGGAGCTTTGTATGCAATAGAGCATAGAATAGGATCAACACAGCCTCATCTGGAAAACTTTTTATATTTTCTACCTTTCAGTAAATATGAAGTGACAATTTTCATTAAGGAGTCAGCTGTGTACAGGCCTCTCGCATGTAGACAGCTGGAGATAGGCACCAGCACCCCTTGCGACCCCACTTGGGACTTAGCGTATTAGAAAATGGATGGATCTACAGTATTATTAATCTATAATTATTATTGTTGTTGTTTTTGTAGTTGTCAACAGTTCTGGAAATGATTTGGTGATGAACAATTAAGCCCCTGTAATTCACAATACTTCTACTACAACTTTTCTACTACAATTTTTTTCCCCATTTACAGATGTGCACAAATCCCCAGAATTATTTAAAGATTGTCGCAAAAAATAGTGAAAAGAATGGGGTGAAGTAAATTTATTATAACAAATCGAAATCCAGGAAACAGAGCAGGTTATTTTTTATCTGATAATCATTTTCTGAGGTTATTTCTCCTTATATTGTGGATCATATCCACAATCTTAGGAGAACAACCTAAAGAAAAATGGAATGAATATTGTTTGGGCATTTAGAATAGAACCCAAAATTAAAGATTCTTTCTACGTATCAGTGGACAGGAGGTTCGGTTTCCCACCAGAGCTCAGGATGTTATTACTACAGTAAAAGCACATGCATTTGTTAGGGGTCTGTACTAATCGTTAGCAAGGGTGCAAATAAATGTGCCCAGTGTTGTATTTGCTGAGTCATATTAGGATAGAAAATGCAAAAATTGATAGAAATAGCTAGAAATTTGATTTCCAGCTCTGTGGGTTTATTTGTCATGCTGGAAAAGTCAAACATATTGACACTGGAGCCATGTCTTTAAATTATTTTGTACTCTTTGATTTTGCTATCAGTACTGACAATAAGCTGGTAATTTGTGTTTGTAGCAGTTCATCTCTCTGACATAGGTTTTCTATCAGTGCTGATTTGATTTTAAGGTACTCGCTTAAATAAATCATGACCTTGGTGTTTTTAATATTAAGGTTTTTTAATTCTACACATTAACTTCAGATAATAACCAATGGCATTCTGAAGCTCCATTCCCAAACAAAATCTTCTTCTGTTTTGTCTTGTTGCAATTATTAGAAGTCTAGTCTTTGTTTTCCTTTGTTGCAGCAAGATTATCATCAGTAGGGGGGTCCTGCGCCTCCTGTTTGATCATAGTTTGTCCCTATTTGTAACATTCCCCGTTCCTTAATCAATCAGTTTTCTGTTGGGGGAGGCAGACTCAGATGTCCACTGTTGAATAAAAACATGCATACTTAGTGATTCACTCTACAAATGACTCCACTTTTCACTTGCGATCATGAAAAATCACCAGTGTTATTAAAAAAGTAATACTTACACTAACAGGCCATCTTTTATAACACCCTCATAGAAACAGACTGGGCCTCCAAAACTGATTTATATCTTCTTGCATAAATTCAAAAATGCATGTAAACCATGCTTCACAGGTTTTGGGCCATCCATACACGATAACATCACATAGCAGATTTCTGGGCTGCACATCCATGCTAGAAAACATTCAAATGGATCTCTATAACCAATCTAGTGGCTGTGGAGGCCAATGAAAACTAATTGTGATGTTCAAGAGACTAGCTGTGGGAATGGGAGTAGCCACCGAATGAATGGTCATAAAAATATTGAAATGGTCTCCATGCACAACTGAACTACTTCCTGAACTTAAGGCAGCTCTTTCTGTTTTCTGTCTTTTTCTACTGGATGAACTGATTAATCTTTGTGTGCCTGAGTTCATTAACCATGGCCAGACACTCACTTGATATATTTTTCCTAATATCTGACAGTCCCACTTGGGATAAGGGTGACGGAAAATGGATGGATGGATATCTGACAGTCTAAGTGAATGAAGAGTTTCTTAAATCCTAAAACCAACCAAGATAGTACAAACAACCATGTAAAATTAAAAATTATTTTCTTTCGCTTTTTAAATGCTTAATTTGAACTCCATCAAGTACATGAAGCTGCTGTCATGTGTTAAACAAATTTTCTACTTGGGTTAACAGGGCGATGCACAGGTGTACCTAATACAGTATCTATCCTCTTACACTAGTTTACATGATTTTTTTTTGGACTTTGCACTTTTTTACTTATTTTTTTTAAGATATTTTAGAAATTATACAAACAAAAAAATTAGACAATAACTGTTTAAAACATTGATACTAGTAAACAGGTCATTAGTCTCAGAAACCTCATTAAACTTGATTAATGTTAAACTATTAAGCAACCTAAAATCATTTACTTTATTGGCTAAATGTTTTAGCAGAATTTTAACTATTGAACTTGAAAAAACTCAAATTACCCTAAGCTGTAAGAAAAATTTTGAAAAATGTTACCCTTTATTTATAAAAAAGGGTTAGGGTTATAAAATACATTTTAATATTCAGTTCTGCCTGGGAAAGATGAATTGCACAACAGCATCTTTGCCATTACACATCCTAGTGACCAGATGTCCATAGCTGCAGAACATGGGAGCCCTGATATGAGTTTAGGAAATCTTAAATGAGGAAATAAACAGTATGTGACATTACTGCATTACTCAATAACCCCTATTTCCTCATATTGCAGAGTACTTTGACATGTCTTACTTGTGAGAAAGACATGGATGGCTAGTATGATTAGCCAGGAAAGTAAAGACAGCCAAGTCAAAGTCAATTAGCTTAACCTTCAATGGGTTTCTATTGCGATCCACTACCATGATGTTGTTTGTATTCAGGTCACTGTGGATGATGCCAAATTTCCTCATTGTGTCCAAAACTATTTTTCATCTTTCCATCCTACTTTTAAAATTTGTGACATTTCTGTAACTATTTGGATTCAAATATTTTACAATACTTTCAGCTTCTTTTTTGGAAACATTTGTTTTTTTGCCACACAGTAAAATGTATCCAAAGATTTATTTTTTTTTATTCATCTTTTAATTATTCAGTCCCAGTTTCTCTTACATAAATTTCAACCTTTAAAGAAAATGGCAAAATGTAGTAGGTTTTAAATTAGCTTTAACAACTATGTCATAGTCCTGAATAAAATATTGTATTTTTTATATCCGGTGTGATTTAATGTGCATCACTGCATTAAAAATGGTTCTCTTTTTACAGGGAGAACTTGGAGAACCTGGACAGAAAGGAAGTAAAGGAGATAAAGGAGAACATGTAAGTTTGTTGCATGCATATAATATATTATTTCTGAAACTTTTTGTATCATGTATGTTATTTTCTGGTGAATACCAAGATTTTATATAATAAAGAAAATAGCTCAAGGGTTCTAATGATGTGCTTCTTTCCAGGGTCCTCCAGGTCCTACAGGCCCTCAGGGCCCTGTCGGTGCACCAGGTCCTGCTGTAAGTGTCCACTTTGTATATGTAGTTTTTGGTCTAACAACTCTATATATTGATCCACTTCATAACCTCTTGGGTTTTGCAGGGTGCTGATGGAGAGCCAGGTCCAAGAGGTCCACAGGGCATGTTTGGCCAAAAAGGAGATGAGGGATCAAGAGGTTTCCCAGGACCACCAGGCCCAGTCGGGCTGCAGGTGTGTACCAAAAAATGAGAGGAAGATTTTTGTCTTGATTTAGACTAGAACAGCAAACTTTAATCATTTTCCAATTTTCCAGGGTTTGCCTGGTCCACCTGGTGAGAAAGGTGAAACTGGAGACGTCGGTCAAATGGTGAGACGGTGTTTTCCAATACTGAATCTGATTGTATTGCAAGCAGCATCTAGATCAAATGCATTAGTAGCACAAAATTACCTTTGTTGTCTATTATAGGGACCACCTGGTCCTCCTGGTCCCAGAGGTCCCTCCGGTCCCCCAGGAGCTGACGGTTCTCAGGGGCCCCCTGGTGGTGTTGGAAACCCTGGTGCTGTTGGTGAAAAGGTAAAACTTTCCATTAAGTTTTTTTTTTATTCAAATGATAATAAACACCTAAAAAAATCTAGAGCTCCATATTATTATCCCTAGTGCTCTGCAAAATCATTTCAGCTGTGTCTTATCTGATTTACTGTGACTGATGTATCTTAGAAGACTTAGAAATATGATTCAGATTTAGTTATTTTTGAATTTCCTCTTCGTGGTTTTAAACTATATGACTGAAAAGGTAAGATTAAGATGAAGCAACTTTTTTTCCCTTTTAGACAGTGGTGCAACAGATGAACTGAATCAAACCAACATAGCTGTAAAGGAATATGTCAATAAAATTGAGCAATTATTTAACTTATTTTCAGTTTGGTAGTCAACCTTTTCGAGGACAGTGAAAGACTTGATCTGACTGAAGGGATGGATCGGCTCAGGATGAAAAGTTAGCGTTAGTTTGCGCCCTCATTTTTAAAAAAAGTTTTTCTTGCTAATTTTTCCTACAAGCATTTATAAAAAAAAAATAAAATAAATACTTTCAGTTAAAAGTTGGGTTTAAAATAATTATGATGAAATCTGGATCAGTGGACATCGCTGTTCTCAGCTCAACACCTGATCAAAAAATAGATATTATAATACTAATGAGGCATTTCATAAAGCCCATTTTCTCAAATATACCCCTTAACATTGTCTTTGGGTTTGTTAAAGTTAAAACATTCCTATTTATCTCTGTAAAATAGGGTGGACCTTTTGTACTATCATAGAGCGACAGAATAACACCAAACCCAATGGAGGAGAACGCTACAAATTAAAGCACATGAATACTTTATTAAAACCCTCTTTGTGATAGAGTTCTTATTTTCTACTGGTATTTTATGTAAATAATGTTTGTTTTTGCAGCTGATGAGCTGCTGAGCATTCTGTAGTGATGATGTGATTTGTTTTATCATCTTCAGTCAATACAATCACCTTTTGCTGCTTCATAATTCCTGCCCAACCCACACACTGCTTCTCTTTGCTAATCGCCCTTCAGCTGAGATGGCATTTTATTGGCTGTTGCAGTGGGTTGGCAAGCAACAAACCTCAGGCTCCTGTAAACACATCCCTCTTGTATCTGAGATGAGCAGCTGTCTTGGTATTTTTCAGTTGTCAGCAGATTTATCCAGGAGACGCATTCAAGAACGTAAGCAGGCTTACATAGTCCAAGATGCAGAATTGCATTATTTAAAGCATGTGTTGCTAAAGCTTTAAGGTTCGGTTATGCTTTTTTTGGAAGGCAAAAAACAATGAGCCGTCTATAGTTGAGGGAGTCAGGATGTGCTGATGGCAACACATCACCGCACAGCCCCAATCATGCCTCTGCAGAACTCTTCTATCAATTTGCTTTTCTCCTTCCAAACATGACATGAGAGAATATTTTCTCTACAAGCAAGTGCAACAGACTTTATCTTTTAAACCCCAGCTGACATTGACAGTGAATAACGACATTGTCGAGCATAGAGGTGAGTCAGGAGGGCAACTATTCAGTAGGGGGGATAGGAAAAAGGTAAGATATATGGGCAGGGTCCAGGGAGAACAGTGAGGTCAGCACACTCTTTGCCCTAGCCACCCAATCTGCTCGCACTTGATGGATTGAAATCTCTTGTATCACGTCTTTTTTTCCCATTCAGGTGACAAGGGCAATGGGACGGTCACGGTTGCTGCAAATGATGGGATATGTTGAACAGGAATGGACGCCTTCTGATTATGTTTCTCACAATCTTTAATAACACTCCTCCCCAATGTCTTCTCTTAGGGAGATGCTGGTGAGACAGGAGAGCCTGGTCTTCAGGGAGAAGTTGGTCCACCAGTAAGTAAACAATCTGTCTTCTGATTTATATGAGCCAAGTGGTTTAAGCTAACAAGTTCTTAGCCTGTGACAAGCTTAGAATTAAATTATAGCTTCATAAAACATTATAGCTTCATAAAATAGTAGGCTTTTGCTTCTTTGCAGCCCCCTTTGGTTGTTGTTCATCTGCTTTATGTTTTTGGTATTATCTTAGGGTCCAAGGGGAGAGCGTGGAGAGAAGGGAGAGGCTGGACGTGCTGGTGCTGCAGGACCTCCTGGCCCTAAAGGTCCACCTGGAGATGACGGCCCTAAGGGCAGCCCTGTAGGTTATAATCTCCATCCATCCATCCATCCATCCATCCATCCATCCATCCATCCATCCATCCATCCATCCATCCATCCATCCA